TTTGCGTTGGCAAGAGGACAAGCCAGTCCAAGCCACGGCAACGGGAGTCCCTTTTTGGGGTACAGCACCCCAAGTGTGGCAGCGGGGACGCAGGGGGGATGCAGCCCTCCCTCTCCCTCCTGATGTGCCCGAGCCCTTCCCTCGCTGGAGGAGCCTGCTCTGCCTGCCCGGCCCCTGCGCCGGGGGCTTTGCTCCCATGTGAGCTTCTCCATCCTGGTTATCCCTCCATCCCGGTTATCCCTCCCATCCCGGTTATCCCTCCATCCCGGTTATCCCTCCATCCTGGTTATCCCTCCATCCTGGTTATCCCTCCCATTCCGGTTATCCCTCCATCCCAGTTATCCCTCCATCCCAGTTATCCGCACGGGGTTTAACGGCAAGCAGCTCACCACAGGGAGGGGAAAGCAAGCGCGGCCCCCGCCATGCACCCACCCATGCTTTCAGGCTCGCATCCAGCAGCTCCCTGCTTGGTCCCGGTCGGTGTTTTGGGCTCCGCAAAGGGCTCTTCCCACCCGCCGCTGCCTTTGGGTCCTCCAGGAAAGGGAGGGGAAGGAGCAGGGCAGAAGCCAGCACGGGCACCGAGCTCGGCTTGGCTCTGCCCAGCTTTTTTACCTTTTTTTTTTCCAGCAGCGCCGGAGTGGTGATGAGGCTCTTACGGGGTTTATTTCCTTCCATGGGCTAAGCCCAGCTGCAGTTTAGAAACACTGGCCTGAAGCAACCCTCTCAAATCTGTTTTACTCATTTTTACTCGATGGATTATTTTTGGTTTTGCTCTATTTCCAGCCTCACAGAGCCCCTCACCCTCCTCCTGAGCAGACACAGCCTACCCCAACCATACGGGGGAGTGTGTTTCTGGGACACCAGTTAAATATTGCAACTGGTCTGAACCTTTGTCTGGAACAGATCCCAGTTCTCTGTAAATAGTTGAGTCCAACAGAAAGACTTGAATGCCGTTTCCTATTTATAGCCGATTATTTTTTTTTTTTCTGGTTCAAGTAAACTTCCCGGGGAAACGCAGCGAGATAACTAACGCCGCGTTATTCCCGTCACCGCTTAAGCGAGAGCGATGTAGCTTCGACCTTAAGAACTCTTTCAACTTGAACGCAGCGTGTCCGTTGTGTAGCGTTTTGTACCAATCTCCTGTGCGGTAGCTGAAGCGTGGTACAGGTAGGCTCCTGATTTTAATCAAACAGGTTAATTTGCTTTATCCAGTACGTCAGCTCTACTACGTGATGCCCCCGGCAAGGCTTTGGGGGACTCCTGTCGATGTTTCTTAAAGCAGAGCCAAAGCCACGCTAGCGTCCAGCTCAGTTTTGACTGAATTTGTCCAGTTTGCAAGGTTGACACGTGGTTTCTACTCTTTTTGTATAGGAAAAGAGCGGAGCGTCTCCGATCTGCCCCCTCTGTTACAGCACCACTTTAGCCATTTTGTATTTATCGACGATAACAACCCAATAAACCTCATTTCAATGAGTCTCAGCTCTTAGTGTGTTTGTGGGGCAGAACCCTTGAACCTCAGCTGTCCTCCCCCCTCCTTGTTTAGTGTTTTGGTAAGCACTCACCCCTCCCAGAAAAGGTGGGATTGGTCTTTTCCAGGGAATACTCCCCCAGGAAGGAGCCCACAACTGACCTAGCTGCGTGTAAGTTTTTCCACCCTGCCCAAGGCATTGCCATCTCAGGTAAGGTGAACATCCAACAGTTAATTAGAGCTTGCAAACTCCTTAGGGACTAATTTTATGCTGTCCTGTTGATGGAGGTAGGGAAGAGGAACAGGTTTTGTTCAGGTGAGAAAGTGAGAGACCATTTTCTTCTAAGCAGAAGTGGGGGGGAACAGTTGGATCTTGGCTAAACACAGGCAGAAAGCCAGGCCTAATGCTGCAGCTCATACCACAAGCGCTTTTATAAACTCTTGCTGGGAACAGCTCTCCTTTTCTGGGAAACATGAAGAGGTTTCTGGTTTGTTATTTCTTCTTTATTTAGAGCTAGCCTGCATTATTCACTAATACTGACCCACTTTACAACACAGCCCAGGGAACCTCCCCAGTGCCCAATGTAGACAGCAACAGCCCCCTCCCCTTTGTTCTTTGGTTAGAAAAAGAAAAAAGGCTTTTAAAAAAGTTACCATCCAAATAGCAAAAAAAAAAACCAAACCCCAACTTAGCTGCACACTAGAACATGCTACAAGAGATCTGCCGCTGCCCAGGGCCCTGGACAGGCTGAGAACAGACATATGGCTTTTTGTTTTCCCAAATAACTTCTTCTACAGAAGAGCTTAACTCAAACTAAGCATCCAGCATTGAGTAGAAGACTTCAGCACGCATCAAACACAAGCAGTCCGGGCAGATTGGCATCCGTGAGAACAGAACCATGAAGGCCATTGCTTTTGCACCATGGAGCAGCGCTCTACCTCCCCCCGGGAGCGCTAACGCCGCACCGAGCTCCCGGGGGAGCCACACGCCCACGATCCCAACCGCTGCCTCGTCCTTGCAAGAGCCAGCTTCCTAGAAGAGCTAGCTTAAAGATAAAGCAGCTTTGCTAGCATGAGTAGGCCAGGAGTGTAGATGCTTACACCTTAGTACGACTCGTGCATATGCTTCAGCGACCAGTAAATACCTGTGGCCTCAGAATAGGAAATTCCACTTCCAATACAATAAATAAAAATATTGCATTTTCTATCGGCCTGTTTGGGAGTCGGTTTGGAATGTTGTTTTCAGTGCTAGAGAGAGTGTCCCACGTTAAGCCGTTAATGCTTCCAGCTCTTTGGGTTTCCACAGCTTCTTGGCAGCAATGATGGTGTTCTTCATCAGCATGGCAACGGTCATGGGCCCAACTCCCCCAGGGACGGGGGTGATGTAGCTGGCTTTCTTCTTCACCTCTGCAGGGAGGAAAGCTAGAGCTTAGCACGCAAATCAAGAGCAGCAATGCTCATCAAGCTGGCTGACCAGTATGAAGCTGTAACCAGTCTAATGATGCCCAAATGCCTTCAAGATCACCAGCTAAGGAACAGTAGTTTCTCAAGGTGGGCTTCCCCACCACCACCCCCCATCACCCAGGGCAGAGCACACCGTACTCCATCCATCCCTGCTACTGAGCAAGACTGCAGAGCCCAAGCTGGGGGGGAAAGGCAAAAAGCAAAGTCTAATCACTTGATTTCTAGCACAGAAATGTCAAGTCCAAGACTAGATGTGGGCTTTGCACATGCCCTTGAGGGTGGCCACAAAGAAGTTTTAACAGTCTGAACATTCACCCTCCCTCTTTCTCCCAGGAGGAGGTTCCAGTGTCTTTCGCCAGGCACCCGGAGGCGCAGGGTCCATCGCAGCAGCCCCTCTGGGCACCACTGCAGCTAAGTCATGAGCAAGGCTGGTGAACAGCAAGCCAGAAGGTAAGTTCCATGTGTTTATATTTAAAAGCAGGAATATGAGTGATAAATTGGAGTAGAGGCAAAGCAACCCAACTGCTTAGACTCAGGGTGAGCCTCCTCTGCCTTGCAGCATGCAGCTTCCCCATGGCATATTACAGCAAGGCTGCACCCTTGCGTACGGCACAATATTGGATGCACCAAGCAAGAGAACATAAGCATCAGTCTGTGTCTGCTCGGTCACATGAACCGGAACCTTCTCCTCCCCTTCTCAGCACCCTTGATGTTTAAAGCTCAAGGAACCAGACGCAGAGCCTTTCCATACCTTCAAAATCCACATCCCCGACCAGCCTTGATTTGGCAGTGACTGGATCCTGCACCCTCGTGATCCCCACATCAATAACCGCAGCTCCTTCTTTGATCATATCAGCCGTGATCAGATTGGGGATGCCTGCAAGAAGAAAACAGAACCACACACTCATGGTGGTACCATGAGCCCCCCTGCTCCCCCTCAACCCATCGTCACATTACGTTTTGACCCACCTGGGCCTTCCTGCCTCACAAAACTGTTGGACTCTAATCTTAAGGGTGTTTTCCAACCTAAATGATCCTATGAAATTCAAATCTACCCACAGTTGGCACAATCCAGCACTACTCCTTGATGTTCAGCTCCATCAGGAATTTCAGTGGTTTACTGAGAGCCTCAGAGTATAAAGAACTGGGATCCACCCCCAGAAAGAGTTCAGGCAAAGCAGCTGGGACCAAAGCATCTTCTCCAAGTTGAAGCCCTCAAAGCTTGCATCTGAAGGCTGCGGCTATGTTTGTCCACAGAACACCAGGAACATTTTTGCACCTGCGCTAAGTCAGCAAGCTGGAGCAGCAACCGAGACCACCGCCACCCAGCTTGGCAGAGGCACTGGCTTCACCAGGGGCTGCAAAACCCCTGGGGTGGGGAGCAGCAGCTCATGGCTAAGCCACCCTTTTGGGGTGGGGTGTATTTGTCTGCTTCTTGCCAGATATTGCACCCAGAAACTCATTCCCACCCTCTGCTTTAGTGAATTCTTTCATGCGAGCCTTCCTCTGGTCTGCTGGCCACCTTCGGCGATTTATGGGTCTCATCTGCCAGCAGCACTTCTGCCATCATTACATGCACAACACTTCTGATCCTTCCAGCACCTTGTCTCTTCATACCCCATTTCCAACCGCTGTTTTCTCTCCTCCCTCCCCCCAGGCTCATACCCAACTTCTGCTGCCAAACAGACACCCCAAATCAGCTCGACTCCTCTGCTGATGAGCTACCTCCATGCCAGGGGTACAGCCTGGAGAAGAGCACACCTCCAAGCAATGCTCTGAAGACAGCGCTGCAGCTCTCCCTCAGCATTTTGTCTGTCTCTAGGTAAGCAGATCCTCTCTCAATATTTTTTTCCCCTCCCCATGTAAATACAGAACAGTCTATAGCTGTTTGCTAGCTCTGACCAGGTGCCCACCGGCACACCAAGCCCTCCTGCCAGATGTTATTTTACATTTCAAAGGCAGAGCTACAAACAGCTCTGCTCATGCAATCAAGTACGTGGCTCCTAGGATAAACTGGCTGGCTCAAACAGCCCCGCACCCACTGTCCTAACCCTCGCCAAAGGCAGCTGCCAACAGCCACAAGAGCACCAGACCCTCCAACGCTGCCAGAGCTGCTTCAGAGAGGGAGGCCCCAGGATGTTCAATACCAACAGGGTAGAATCATAGAATTGTCTAGGTTGGAAAAGCCCTTTAAGCTCCCCCAGCCCAACCATTCCCCTACCCCTGCCATCCCACCCCCAAACCCTGGCCCTCAGCACCACCTCTGCCCGGCTGTTAAATCCCCCCAGGG